GGCGGCCCCCGGTGCCCCGCCATAAAAGCAGCGCAAGCAGCCCTGACCCCGGCAGACGGCAGCTCTGTCCCGGGACCACCGAGCAGAACCTCCCGAAGCCCGGCATGGCGAAGGCAGACGGGATGCTCTGTGCCCTCCTCCTCCTCCTCGTGCTGTGCTGCCAGAGCTTGGCTCAGAGTGAGCACTGCTGCCCGCTCCGTCCCTGCTCCGTCCCCATGGCTGAGGGATGGGGACAGCCCCCCAGGCCGTGGGGTTGGGTTTGCTTTGCGCTGAGGGTGCAGGGGGGCTCCTCCCAAAGAGCCACAGTGCCCACGGCGGGAAGGCTGAGATGGGAGGTGGGGGTCTCCAGGCTAAGCCGAGCTTGTGCTGTCTCCCCAGGAGCCCCAGCTGTGCCGGACAAGTGCTGCTTCAACTTCCAGATGAGAAGGATCAAGAGAGACAACGTCATTGCCTGCTACCCCACCAGCCCCGAGTGCCCGCACCAGGCTGTGATGTGAGTACCCTAAACCCAGCCCTGGGGCTGAAGCCCCTCTAGACCCTGCCAGACCCTGTGCCTTGCTTTGGTGGGTCCGATCCTGATCCTCTGTGCCACCAAATGCTTTGGAAACTCAGTGCCGGGGTCCCCGTACCACCACCCTGCTAACCCAGTCTTCTCTCTGCCCCAGCTTCAGGGTGAGGAGCGGGAAGGAGATCTGCGCCCAGGCGAGTAGGGCCTGGGTGAAGAGGTACCAGCAGAGCTTCCAAGTCAACTCCTACTCCATCCCCAGCTAGCGGGGCGGCCAGAGGCAGCGCAGGGATTGAGGGGGGGCAGCTCTGTCATCATTTTTTGTACAACACACTGAACAGAATTAAAGGTGATCTCATGCATGCAAATGTCTGGATGTGCAAGTGTTTTGGGAGCAGGCAGATCCTGCTGCCGGCTTTCCTACCTGGGTGTTAAACCACGTCTGTGAGTGCTGGGGTCAGCAGGGAGCCAGGAAGAGCCGAAGCCCCAACCACGTCTCTGTGAGGAGGTCTGGGGGTGCACAGGGCAAAACTATGTCCATGAGGGCTTTGGGGAGGCCACCAGTGAGAGGGGGAAGAGGCAGGCACAGCCCGTGGGGACGTGGCTTCCCATGCCCCTTGTCAGCCAGCCTACTGAGTGGAGACCCCTGCCCCAATTTCGATCAGAGCTGCCCCTTGGGGATGCCTGCTCAGGCCCCATTGACCGCCCATGCTCTCAGGATGCCACGACGAGATGTGATGGGCACTGCCAAAGTGACAGGCACCGTGATGGGCAGCCAGAGATGGGTCTCAGGGTGGACTGGGTTGAGCCTGGCCACCGCCAAGCCACTCACCTCGGTACAAGACTGCAAGAGAGGCATCGCAGCTCAGCTGACAACGGGTGGTTTTTGAAACTGAGCTCACCCAGGGCTTTGGCAAGCATGAGCATCATCCTGTGTGGTTTGCCGGCAGCAACGACCAAACCCAAAATAGACTGCCGGCCCCTGCGCATCACCCGTGGCGCAGACCTGTCAGCTGCTCGCCACACTTTCCAGCAGCCCTCGGGAACCACAGGGGCTGGAGGGCTGGGAGAAGAAATTTCCATTCACAGGTTGCCCTTTATCAATATCTGCGGGTGGTTCTTTCCCCGGGGAGAGTCCAGAGCTGTCATGGAAAGCCTGGCCAGGGGGTATATCACGCCGAGGTGCAGGCAGGAGAGGCAGGTAGCTCGCAGTGACCCCAAGTCAGCAAGAGCTGCTGGTGCTGACCGAGCCCAGAAGTGGACATGAAGGTCTTCTGCTTGGCCCTGCTCACCCTGCTGCTGGTGGCTCTCTGGACTGGAAGCGAGGGTGTCTCCTGTGAGTACCGACACGGAGCCTTCCCCCACGGCTGCCCCAACACTGTCCCTGGCTCCTCCACTAACAAGGTTTTGGGGGGTCAGGGAGGGGTGGGGGAGAGATTTAACTCCTGTTTCTGCTGCTGGTTTGGGGGGCTGAGGGGCATTGCAGATGCCCAAGTACAGGGCTCTCCTGGTCTTGTTCACAATGAGCAAAAACAGGCTTGGGGGTGACTTCAGTCCCAGCACTGCGGCTGGGGAGCTCAGTAAGAACCCCTCTGAGCAGGGAAATGGGGGGCTTCTACCCTGGGGCAAAGCAGCACTGCCAGGGAGGCGAGAGGGGACCCCTTGTAGGGGGAGGGAGCGGGAGGGTCCCCAGGGGAGCACCCACACCCCTCGGGGCAGCACCCACACCCTCACGCCAGCCATGGGAGAGCACCAACCCCTCTCGCCTCCTCTCAGTACGCAGCCCCTACGGCACCTGCTGCTACAAGGAGATGTTCATCCAGAAGAAAATCCCTGCCTTCCTCATCAGGGGCTACCAGAAGACACCTTCCCATTGCTCCCGCAGGGCTGTACGGTGAGTACCCCCAGCCCCCACCCTGCCTTCCTCCCTGGCACCCCGCTCCTCACCCTCGCTCACCCACGTTCCCTACCGGTTGTTCTGCCTTTGGGGATCCCCCAAAATGAGCCATCCCCGCAGGGTGCCATGGGGGGGGGTGTCCTGCCCTAGCTCTTCACACCCACCTCCCTCCTCACTGCTTTATCCCAGATAGCCCCCAGATCCCCCATTTCACCTGCCAGCCAGAGAAATGAGAAGGAAGTTGAGGTTTCAGAGATTGCTAAAAGTGAGAGCTTTCAGGGGATGCGGGGGCCAGGATGCTGCAGGCATCCCCAGGCTGGTGGGGGAACCCTAGGGCACGGCCGGATCCTGCACATCCCCAGCTAATGCAGCCCCTCTCTCCTCCCCCAGTGTGGAGCTGCTGAAGGGGAAGAAGTTCTGCGTGGACCCGGAGGAGGGCTGGTTCCAGCAGTACCTACAGCAGGAGGAGTCAAGAAGCACCTCCACGTGAAGCTGCCTTCTATATAAACTCTATTTATTTGCATCGTGTAATTATCTGTATGTTCTTGTCTTGTTAAGTTATGGAGCTGGCTCCGTCCCCTCCCCGGCCATCGCCTCCTCCACATCTCTTGACGGGTTTAATAAAACGCCCTGTCCTGACCTGCAGCTGGAGTGAGATGATGTAAATCCTGTGGGAGAAAGCAGGGGTCACACCAGGGCTTGGCATCCCTGCGGGCACCCAGGAACAGCACAGGAGCCCCTGGAAGGACAGGGAAACCTGAAGGGCCAAGGGTGATGCCCCCAGCTCCCCTACAAGATGAAGCAGCCCCTGCCTGGGAGTGGGGTTTAAGGATGCCCTGGGCAGCTGCCCACCCAGTGGGATGCGGATCGAGGTGTGGATACAGGCAGGCTCAGGCTGGCAATGGAGAAAGGTCGGGTCTGGGGAGTTTTGGAGGAGTTTGGGGGTTGGTTTGTTTTTTTCCAGGATGGATCAAGGGGTTAAGCAAGGGCAGCTGCAGGAGAGATGCCTGGAGGTTTAGCCCTGTCCTTCAGCCCGGGCCAGGCCCCGGGAGACTGGTACCCGTGGGTGTGACCCTGCTTGTGGGGGGGGGCTCCAGGTCCCTGGGAATCACCTCATCTCATCAGGAAAATCCTCCCGCAGCCCCTAGAGCCCGTCCACCCACCGAAGCAGCAATGGGGATGGCAAACGGAGGAAATTGGACCATACCAAGCCTGTCACTCATGTCAATGATTTCCTTAAGGGCAAGAAGAAATTGCAAATGCAGATGCTTTCGAGAAGGTTTCTAGTGAGCGCAGGGAGGCTGGAGCAGCGTTCATCCGCCTGGTTCCCACCAGGGCTCCAGCTGCAGAGCTTCAGAGCCAGCTCTGGAATCCCTGTAGCGACTGGGGGAGCGGGGTGAGAAGTGGTATTTGTGGTAAAACTGGGCAGAAGTTGGGATTTGACTCCTGACAGAGGTTTTCTGTCAGCGGCTGGGGTGTCCATGCCGTGGCACCTGAGCTGGGCTGGGCTGTCCATCTGATGGCGGGTGGGGTCCTTGCAGCAGCGGCAGGGTCGATGTCGTGGGGGTTTGGGCTCTGGTCAGCCCCCGCCGGGCACCCAAATGGAATCTGAAAGTTGCAGCCCCGTGGGCAGCGCTTCCCCTTCTGCGGTTTCCTTGCCTTCTCCAGCTCAGCAAAACGGGGTGATCCTGACATAATTTCCCCGGTATGATGCACTCATTTTCTTTCCTTGAAGTCCTGAGCCCGCCCAGCGGCCAGGGATAAAAGGAGGACATGGCCAGAGGGGCTGAGCAAGGTGCAGAGAGCAGCCCCGCAGCACCCCCAGCTCCGCTCACAGACCCCTCAGCCCTGCAGCACCATGAAGGTCCCCGCAGCCGCCCTGGCCGCTCTCCTCCTCGTGGCCGCCTGCTCCCTGTCCCAGGCCCATCTCGGTGAGTCCAGCGTCGCTGCGTTGTCCCCGGGACCGGCCGTGCCCTCGCTCCACGGGAGCTGCTGGGCAGGCGGAGAGCCCTGTCCCCATCCGCGGGGACCCTCGGGGCTGTGGGGAGGGCTGGGAGCAGGAGACCAGCGCCAGTGCTGGGACTGGGGCTTGGGCAGGGCTGTCCTGGGAATCCAGCACCAGGGCATAGGACACCAGGGTGGGAGAGGGCAAATCCCTGGGGAATCCCAAGTGCTGGTGGGGACAGAGCATGGGTTGTAGGCTGGGGTCTCACCAGGGCTGTCTGTCTGTCCCTCCACCCTCACAGACGACATCCTCACCACCTGCTGCTTCAGCTAACTGCAACGCCCCATCCCATGGGGCTTCATCACCTTCGTCTA